AATGTACCTGGTGACTGATACCAATGTACTACTTCCCCTACATCTCATCTTGTATGATGATAGTTCTATGGGAAATGCCCGGTGTTGGTGGACCAGGAACCATCTTGTTCTTGACACCATGTTGCATCAACAACTTAGTCTTCCCCCATCATTTATTGTCCCCAAAACAGAAAAAAAGCTCCATTGAGATGAGGGTGAATATCTAGGAGTTGAAATGAGTGGAGACAGAAAATTTAACTTCTTGGGGCATGACACACAGACTGTGCCAGTAAATCAACTTTTGAATCAACATGTGGCTCACAGTTAAGTGTTATATATAATATGTTTTATCTGATAGTTTTCTATTGCCACACTTGTGATTGCTTACTGGGTGCACTATTTTTAAATCATTGGTGGAATGATTTTTGTATTTCTTCAGTCTAAGTGTCTGGGAGCAAACGCTTGTCACGAGCTAGTTGCCTTGTGGGTTAAGGAAAGTATAGCAACTTGGCCTCCTCAGGCCCAGACAGCTGTGCCAGGGGACCCTTTAAGTCGGCCCCTCTCCCTGTGATTTCATTGGAGGAGCAAGCCATTTTCTCCCATGGTGCCATGGTTTGGAATTTAGATTCTGCCACTCTAATTCAAAAGCAGGGGTGGCTTGCAATGAAATCCTAACGGCACAAACTGCTGCTGGTGCCAGAGGCAAACACCAGCTGGGTCTGAGCCTGGCCTGAGAACCCAGCCGGGGGTAAGCAGAGAGGAGGAGAAAAGTATTCAGAGATCTTGCAGAGCAATGACTTACCTATGTTATCATAGGGAATTATGATCGTCCCCGAGTCGACCCACATTGGATGTAATTTTCAGCACTGTGACGGTGGGTGGAAAAGAGGCTTTTGGGGAATGGGTCTTCCTGCTCCCATTAAAGTGCCCTTGTATATAGGGGTACATTTTTTTGCTCAGGGAACAGTGCCTTAAATAGCTGGGCCAGACACTAAAGCCAGACACTGCCTGGGTTAGAAGCAGGCATGGCCACTTACTACGTGACTTTGGGTCATTTACTTCTCTTTGCCCATTTTCTTTTTGTAAAATGAAAATCCTAATCACTGCCACCTCATAGACTATGAGAACTGACTGAGCTAAGTATTCCAATACTTAGAATAATGCAAGGTGCTCATTAAAAGCTAGGTGGTGTTATTATATATCTAGTCATAGTGTGTGCTATGTTGTAGCATAATTCCAAGTCAGAAAATCAGAGAAATTTTTCTGATAGGCTCTTTCTACAATAGTTATAGCATCGAGTCTATCAGAACAATAATTTCTTAAAAGTATATATGTGTACTTGGAGGAAGATGCTAAATTATTTACACCACCTGCCTCCCCCCTTCAAAAGAACAACAGATACAAACCACCCTACACAATGCTAAGGAAAACAGCTGAAGATGAGGAATTTAGTTTCAATGCATCTAACTTAGCACAGTTTTGGCAAAATAAAGGGTGGGAACAATATTTACCAGGGGCTTAACTTCCCTAATAATCATTAAAAAAAATAAAAGACCAGGAATGACCTCACTTAAACAGTGTTTTAAAGAATTTAGGAAAATCCCAATAAACCCATATGCGTATATGCATAACCCATAGACACAGACAATAGGGTGGTGAAGACTTGGGGTTGGGGGTTGGGGAGGAATAGAGGGAAGAGGGAAATGGGAGGAAAAGAGGGACATATGTAATACTTTCAACAATAAAGATTTATTTAAAAAAAGAATTTAGGCAACAATACTTGTCTTAGTAGAGCTAAAATAGTGCAACAATAATCAATACTAGAGTATATGTAAACAATTTCTAAGAAGTTCAATTGATTATTGTGACAAGTTAATTTAGATACAAAATATGATGCAAAGGCAGTGTCCTACAGCACAATAACTGAACTTGTTATAAATTGTACTTTGTCCTACTTAGAATTAAAGTACTGGGGTTGTTATTTCCCCCTCTCTCCCAACCTTCCTCACTTTTTATGCCATTCTCTTTTTATCTTCTATTTTTAAAAATCAGTTAGAATGGATTTAAGACTATCTCATAAATAACTTTGATTCCAGTGTATCCGTGTGCTTTCTCTCATGGAGAGGACAGAAATGTGAGGGTGGAGCCGGGCAGTGCTCACTACCTGGATCACAGTGAAGAGAAGCCTGAGAAGTTTTTGTTTTAAACTGAGAATGACTTTTAGAAGGAAGTCTGTTTCTCTCCTTGTTTTTCTTTTAAATTTCCCTGGGAAAGCTTTAGTTCTAAGTTTTTTGCTAAGACAACTTATGAAGTTGTATCATGGTTGTGAGTGTGGAGAGAGCAGTTTCTTAAAGGCCACAGGAGGGATAGGACAGGAGCTGGAAAAGGAGATGGTTTAGCTTTCATGGAACATCTTGGCAGTGAGGTGTGGGAGCAGACGAGAGAAGAGGTGGCTGCAAGTCGATACCATTTGAACTCATATGAGAACACCATCAAACCACTCAAAATGAGGTGAAAATTCACAGATAAGTACTTTTAAGAAGCAATATAGGGGGAATTCATTAGTAAAAGAAAAATATCATTTCATAAGAAAAAAATGTGAAGTTCTAAAGAGCATAGTTGTCAACAATAGAAATACTACCATGAACTTATATTGGAATGAGAGAAATGTAAGAAAAAACACACAAATCTCTTGTCTTTAATTCGTGGCTTTAGCTCTATTCACCACCAGGGAGAATTATTATATTTTTTTGCAAATAAGAGCAATAAATGAGAATTCAGTGAATGTTGAGGAATTTGGTGAAGTCAGTAATTAGAATATAAAATATTGTAATCATATTAGAAGTAAACACCAAGTTTTAAAGATCAAAGGGAGTGTGTATAGGTAGTGCTAGAAAGTGGAGATGTCGTAAGTTATAGAAATAATGTTGAGCAAAGGATAAGAATCTGGACAGGGATAAGTGGATAGGTCTGGATTCAAATTTTGACTCTGACATGCACTGACTCTGTGACCTTGATCAAAGGTATGAGCCTTAATTTTGTCATCTATCACATGCAGAAGATAGTAGTACTGACCACAGAGGAATATTTTGAGGATTAAATACACCAATGTATGTAGAGTACTTATGCTGTATGTGCCTAGCAAATATTAGCTAGTAAAATAGAATTAGATGCTACATGAGAGGAACAAAGCTTGGTTACTTTGAGGAAACATAAAGGAAAAAAGAAACAGTGTTGTATTCGTTCTTAGGAGCTGGACATTTATGCGGTTGAAATGGGAGTTAAATTATGATAAACTGAAGGGACAGGGATCTTGAACAACTACAATAGGAGGAAGATGAACAATGGAACAATATTTGGCCATAAAACCAAGGATGTGGTAGGAAAATCTAGAAACTATTAAATCTAGGAAATAATAAAAGGGAGCATAGAAAGTACATGGCAGCTGAAAATTGGGGGAAACTGAAGAAAGGATATGAAAGGAAAGTGAGAAGGAAAGTCCTTGCGTGGTGTGGTGAGGCCATTGCTAAGAGAGGAGACTTGAAAGAGGGGGCTCTCTGGGGATAGAGCAGACACAGAAGGTGGGATGTCTTGGTGGCCCTTGAACTGTGGGCCTGGGACTCAGCAGATACACCTGAAATGTCACCTTTATTTCTCCCTGAAACTATTTGTGCACAATACACCCACTGGACAGGTAGAACAGGTGAAAATACCTGTGCACTGATCAGATCCCCACAGCTTTCAAGGCTGGAGAAGGAGTCAGAGAAAGAGCTGAAATATCACTTGCTATATTTCAATGAGCAAGGATATAATGAGCAAAGTCTGTAATTTTTGATATGTTGTGTATGTGTGTATTTTGTGTGTCGTTTTTCTTTCCTTATTTTTGTCACTAGAGATTTCAAAATACAACGGTCGCCCAGGTTTGGAAGAGATGATAGGGTGTGGGAAAGATCTGGTTTTTCCTCCTAGCAACCACATCCAGGAAAGGGAAAGCCAGGTGGAGGTGTTTTGCTGGACTGTGTGGTATCTGTCCAACCAGCCCAGAGACCTGTTGGTATAAACACTCATATGGCTGCCCTTGCTAGAGTTCAGGTAGACATGGAGTTGGTAAAGTTCCAAGAGAACAGAATTAGAAATATAAATGGTAGATAGGATTGTATCTAAATGAATTATCAGAAGACTTTAGTGATCCAGTGCTCACTTCAGAAGAATGAAAAGTGCTGGAAAACTGTCCCCCAATAACTATCACTCTCTTAATCGACTTTAAAGAAACATTGAACAGTGTTCCCCTAACATATGCAATGTATAATGTCATCATCTTACATAGCAACATACCTTCTTGTAATGATAATGGGTCATAGTGAGAAACATTTGTGCTCCGCTAAAATGCATGTCTTGTGTGTGATTGTGTTTGTCCCTAAACTAAGCCATGCAGAGGCTGCTGTGCATAGTGAGGTATCCTCTTTCCTCGGGAGGCATGCTGGGTTTTTCTCTTGAGGTCAAACTTTCCGAGCCACCTGCTGCTGTGGGACTCAGGCCTGCCTGTCTAGGCCCCTTCCCTACTTCTTGTTTCTCATCTTCTGGCCTTGGAAATAGCACGCTGGAGTGTCAGAATTAGGGGAGAAGTAGGTTCTGTGTGAGAAATGTTTATGAGATTAAGTGGGATTTGTTTTGGGTGTGCAAAATGTTCTACTGGGTCTTGCTTGCGTTCTATACCGGTGAAATTGCTAGGCCCCTTCCCTACTTCTTGTTTCTCATCTTCTGGGCTTGGAAATAGCACGCTGGAGTGTTAGAATTAGGAGAGGAAGTAGGTTCTGTGTGAGAAATGTTTATGAAATTAAGTGGGATTTATTTTGGGTGTGCAAAGTTTTTTTACTGGGTCTTGCTTTCGTTCTATACGGGTGAAATTACTAGAGAGGTTGCTATGGGACTGGAGAAGTGTTGGTATTATTTTGAAGACGGGGAGGGGGGATCTGTGGAGTGCACACTTTCTAGAATGAAAATGAAAATTTTCAGTGCCATCCCTCCCACTTTAAAGATTATGCTAACTTGCTGAAGGATAAGGTTTCAAATTCTGCTCTTGGTTCTTATTTGTTATTATTGTTTCTTATAGGAATTGTTATGCAGTGTAGACTAGATTATAAGTCATCTCCTGTATCAAGTGAAATAAGATTCCTTCAATCACAGAAAAGTGTAACTTGGAGTTTTTAGTTTAGGGTCTTACAGTTTTAGCCAGTAGAAGAGACTACCTATCTTACAAAATGATCACCTGTGTGGTAGTATGTTGAGGTAAAAGACTCTTCTATTTTGTTAAAAAGTTATAAATATACTGACCCTTGAACAACTGCTAGTTTTAGGGGCGCTGAAACAGCAGAAAATCCACCAATAGCTTTTGACTCCCCCAAAAAACTTAACTTCCAATAGACACAAGCTAACTACACTGTTGACCCGCAGCTTCACTGACAGCAAAAACAGTCAATTAACACATATTTTGTCTGTTATATGTATAATACTGTATTCTTACAATAAAGTAAGCTAAAGGAAAATGTTACTAAGAAAATCATAAAAAAGAGAAAATACATTTACAGTATTTACTGAAAAGAATCCACGTGCAAGTGGATCTGCACAGTTCAAACCCTTGTTCTTCAAGGGTCAGCAACTTTATGTCAAAGCTGTTTAGTGGATGTCAAAGCCCATATTCAATTTAGTTCACTCGCATCAACTGCCTTTTGGAATTTTCACCCATTTGCCTATGTCCAGGTCAGATCAAACCGAAGTCTAAAAAACCTTATTGCTATATGGTGGAACTGCACTTGCCATCCTTTGTTCTTTACAGGGCTTTCCTTAATAAAACTCTATTGCAGGGAAGATACAGTAGTTCCTTGTGTGAAGAATATGTATTGTGAATATGTATATAATTTGGTATATAATGGTTTTTCTAAAGCTCATGGCAAAATTACCACCAGCTGAGATGTGATGGCTGTTCCCAGTTGCTCACTAGACACTGGATCAACCTGGAATTGTTTTACATTTTGCATTTCTACACCTTGAGCTTCTCTCTTCTGAGTATGGCATGTGGTGATTACCAGAGCTGATTGCTAGTGTACAGTGTTTAATAAGCACACATGACATTAACACCTGGCTGGTTTGCAGAAATGCATACCTTTCACAGGAAATAAGGGATTGTGAGGTAAGGAAAAAGACATTTGCCTATTAGACTTGTAGCATTAAAATTTTCAGTCTCATCACATTAATGCTTCATCTTATTTCTATTAGTTTTTTTCCCCTAGTGCTAGTTCAGACTAGTGCAGGATGAATTGGGAAAACATTGCAATGTAGATTACTCTCTGGGAAGCAGAGAGACCATTTTCTTTTTATTTTACAGTAAGGTAAGCATAATTTTTTAAAAAAGAAGCTGTTGTAGGTTTTTTAAACTACCAGTAGAAGTAAAACAAATGTACAAACTATTTCTTGGTCTTTATACAAAGAAAAAGTTTGTCCAAAGAACTAGCTGTGTTTGGTGGCGTTAACTATTGTCTCATCAGAGGTCCTAATGTTTAATGAACAATCTGATTTCACAATCACACGCAGAGCTCCTCATTGCCACAAAGAAAGATGGTTTTTGTCGTTTTCCTTTCTGATACTGACAAGGAAAACATTCTTAGCTGCCGCTTGTGGGGCTTGGAAAAGATTTAAACTTTGAATCTTTCCCAAAGATAAACATCAGTTATCCAATGCCTTGTTAACTGAGTTAGATTAAAAAAACAAAACAGAAAATGTAACCCATAAAGTACAATACGCAATCTCAGCTGTTCAGGAAGGCGAATACATGCATTTACTCTCTTCTGTTAATTCCCCCAGTTGCGCCTTAATTTAGTGGCAGAACAGATGGATACTCACGCTGCCATAGGTTTCTGAAAGACTAATTCAATGTGACTGCAGTATGTGGAGGTTCAGATAGCTTACCTCAGGTCCATGTCGCCATCGACCCAATAGGCCAAGATATTGGAGGCAGTTCCTCCGGGGCAGCATCCCATGATCAGCACCACTACGGCCTGGATGGGGAGGATGTCAAAGGCCACTGACAGGATGAATCCCACGAGGGGCATGATTCCAAACTGACAGAGGAAGCCAATACATATGCCCCACGGCCGCCTTATGTGCCCCAGGAATTTCTTGATTTCCACATTGCATCCCATGGAGAACATCACCATCGCCAATAGGATGGTCAAGACGGTGCTCAGGACCACGCTTAGAATGGCATTGAAATTGCTGGCAGGTACCACACAGGACGAACCGTTGCAAACTGTTGCTGTGGCCAAACATCTCGTTGAATTATTCATCGCTGGGTTTTGGCTCAAATGGTCACAGACATCCACAGAAACACCAATCCTCCGCTCCTCGCTGGGTAAGTAGTGCCTACTGCAAGCACGTCAAACTTTTAAACCCTTTCTAAACGTGTCATTTGGTGTCTCTTTCTAAAGCCACCTCAGAGAGGCAATAAAAAACAATAAATGCCAGTATGTCAGTTTCGAGAGGTAACATTACAACACAGCACATATTATGAATCATAAAAGTCCTGCCAAATTATTGGCCCAGACAGAGAATTATAATTAATCATTTATCAGCATGGTAATGAACCGTGCCATATAAAAAGAGCTGTGTTAATGTTTAATGCTGGGAAGGTTTGTTAAATAATTTCAGTTATGTGACACTCGGATATTACAGAACATTGGAGGGGTTAAGCCATGGGAAGGCATGTTATCCACTCATCTCCTTTTAGTAAAGGGGGTGGGCGGTGGATCCTAAAAAGTCCAGTACCCTGTGCCAAGTTAAATTGCAAAATAGCATCAGTGTCAGACCCTGAACTGAAACTCAGACCTACAACTTCCTCCCGCAATAGTTTTCTTACTATATCAATGTCTGCTCCTATTGGTCTGTAGTGTTCATGAAGAGTATGTAAGGTCAAGAAACTTACAGGGCCTTGATGCAAACCTAAGGGAGAGTAGCATGTGGGAGGATAGAATGTTTTCTGTATTGTCTGGTGGGAGGGCAGCTGACCAGGAGAGCTGCCTTCAATTACTCACACACCCAATTATGCATGCATTGCCATAGTAACAAAGTGCCTTAGAGATAGTGACAACACAATTATTTAGAGGGATGAACCTCAGAGGATTAGGTCAAAGTGACAGGAGCTCTTAGTGCTTGGAGTCGGGAATTGAAATTAGAATTGTTTTTTGAAGAGGAGAGGCAGTTAGAGATTCCAAGGGAAGTTGATTTTTGTAAATGTCAAATAGTCTACCTCATTATGGACAGAACACTGCATTTGGTGTATTAAGGAAGATAAAAAAGAGATAGAGGAGGAGTTTCTGTTCTTAGGTGTTTATGGTATAATCAGTTAGTGAGGATGCAACAGAAGAATAAAACAATATTTTGATCATGATTCACAATTTATAGGAAAAATTCTAATTTATTAGTCGATTGAATCATCTTAAATTTAGTAGGATTAGCATCCTCCTTTTACAGATGACTGATTAAGGAAGATAAAAAAGAGATAGAGGAGGAGTTTCTGTTCTTAGGTGTTTATGGTATAATCAGTTAGTGAGGATGCAACAGAAGAATAAAACAATATTTTGATCATGATTCACAATTTATAGGAAAAATTCTAATTTATTAGTCGATTGAATCATCTTAAATTTAGTAGGATTAGCATCCTCCTTTTACAGATGAGGACTTAAGGGTTGAAGAAATATATCCTTTTACTCATGGTTACCCAGCTGATAACTGGAAATGCTGAAACTCAGTTTGGCTTAGTGGAGATTTAGAGAAATACCTTAGAATAGAGTTTCCCAAAACTCAGTGTGCACACAAATCCCCTGGGGGTCTTGTTAAAATGCAGATTCTGATGCTGGAAGTCTGGGGTGGGCCCCAGATGTCTGCATTTCTGACAAGCTCAGAGTTGAGGGTGATATTGCTAATCTAGGGACCACACTTTGAGTATCAAGGCTTTAGAATACCGACGTCAGGGTGATGACAACTATCCAAGCTGGTGGCAATTGAATTTACTGGTCACAAGTGAAAGCAACATTTACAGAACAACTCAACACAGAAAATTAACCTTCTGCACAACTGGAGTAGGCATGAGCTGTAGGCAGTGGTGTGGGCCGCCAAGCAGAGGCATGGGTGGAGTCAAATGTCCCAGCTGCTGGGGGCCCAGGGATGTTGTCCTTCTAATGTGGGATTGAGCTGCTGGGAAAACCCTGAACCATCCGTTCTCTTAGAGGCAACAGTGATTGACACTCACTGTTGGTGCAGTTTCTGTCCCAGGAGTGCTCTTTCTCAGCTGTCAGACTCCACCGCCTGCCTTATCTTGCGTGGGTGGGCTGCCATTAGCTCTGCCTGGCTGGTTGCCAGTTCCTGGAGGATCCTCCTGTCTCTCGCATCACCCTTTCCACTCCCACAGCTATATGATTAGCTAGGTAATTCCCAGAAGGGTTCCCCTCCCACTTTTGGGTGTGGAATGACTTGGCCCCGTCCTGCTGGCCCCCTCCCAACATCTCCTGGGACTGACCTCTGGCTCACTTCTTGGCTCAGGTGCCAGTGGGCCTGGGGTCAATGAGCCAAAAGCGCCCCCTGCTGCTTCACCTGGGTAGCTGTAGGTGCTGGCTTTTTTCCCCCAAAGCGTGGAGGAGGCTGAGCGGAAAAATTACAGAATCCAGAGCCTGATACATGTATAGGGTTGATCAGCTTTCAAAGCAGCTGCCCCGCTCTAACCTCAAACAATACTGAGAGTCCAAAGTTGGCCCAGGACCTACCCACAAACATGCCAGGTCCGGTTTGCAAAGGGAAACTTGAGTCTTGTAGGTTGGAGGGAGCAATTCAAATTTTTCCCAGGATGGGCTTCAGGTATTGGCCATGCTTGGGGTTGCCAGGTGAAATCTGTACTTAGCCTTTTGTCCACAAGGCTGGAAGCAGAGAAGAGAAAGCAGGTTAAGAACAAAGCTCTCAAATTTCAGAAGACTTGCTAAGGAGATTTGAGGCTCCCAGGGGCAGAATGCTTTGCATATAGACAACTTGCAAATGAGCAGTCTGTTTGACTAGACAAAGTGCTACAGTTCTGCTTAAAAAAATGTGCCAATGCATTTCTAATTTTCACATTGTTTTTACATAAATTTGCACATTAGGCTCCAGAGGCCTTCTATTCAAGTATTGGAGTGATTCACAATTAGCTAGTACCCTTAACTTCAACTGCATGAAAATTCAGGCATCAGACCAGGCTAAATGGAAAATATTTGAATATGTTAAAACCATTCTCTTTAATTACAACACAATCAGGGAACAGATGCACACCTGAGTGGGCAGGAGTTGGCGCTTGATTTCCATTGTCATCTTTCTCAATCTTTTCTGCTCAGTTTCTTCATGCACTGGACTCAGCTACAAGCCATCTTCAAGAAACTAGCAGCAAAGTCTTGCTCCTGGTCTCCTGGGTGGAGACACAGCAGGTTGTGGGTCAACTTGACCTATAGGCTTCCTTTTGGTTTCTTAGTATCACTTTGAAGAAGCAAGGGTTTAATAGCTTTTCAAAGTGTATGCCCTAAAGCTCATATGATAAAAGAAGAGCTTTCTATTTCCTATTTTGTTTCATTGGGCATCCTTCCATTTAATCGGCAGTCGTTTGGGCTTTCAGTGATCTTACTGAATAGTTCCCTGTGACTGAAATGATCTCTTTCCTCTTTCCTATTCCTTCCTATGGACTGAACTTTTATGGAAACTGAAAGTACCACAATTAGAGTTATTATTTGACGTCTTCACTGACCCTCTTTGAGGCAAAAATTCCCCGGGGAGAATAGCCTATGAATGACTAGCTGTCCATTCACCTGAGTGGCATTAAAGGAAGAAGGCAGAAAAGTATTGGCGAGAGAAAAAGTAGTGTTTAAAAGGGCTTAAATTTTACTGAATGCAGAAAGCACTGGACTTGGAATCAGAAGATATGAGTTCTAGGTCTGCTTCATTTGAAAATATTTGGCTGTTTAGGCTTTTATCAATGAACTAGAGGCCCGGTGCACAAAAATTTGTGCACTTGGTGGGGGGTCCGTCAGCCTGGCCTGTGCCCTCTTGCAGTCTGGGACCCCTTGGGGGATGACTACCTGCTGGTTTAGGCCTGCTCCCTGGGGAATTGGGCCTAAGCTGGCAGTCAGACATCACTCTGGCAGCCTGGGAGCCCTCAGGGGATGTCCACTTGCCAGCGGGGAGCAGACCTAAGCTGCAGTCGGACATCCTTACCGCTGCTGAGGAGGCGGGAGAGGCTCCCACCACCACCGCTGTACTGCAGCCATCAGCCTGGCTTGTGGCTGAGCAGAGCTCC